ATTCCGATGCAATTCGGTGCAGATGCACGCGATTTTTAAGCCTCATGGTTCTACATGAAAGCAGAATGATTCTTCTTAACTTTACTCTCTACGGTGATTCTATTTAGCCTGCGCTTTGATCTTAAACCTGTACGCCAAACTTTCCAAAGAAACGAAAGTAAACGAGTTAGAAATAGCCCTTCGAACATTGCATGCCATTTACCACAAAATGGTCGTAAAGGCCTGTAAAATCATCGGGTATTTCACGTGCACTCAGTCTACTACTAGCTTTAGAAATGTCACCCCAGTTGTTGGCGAAATTTCCGCAGATAGCATCATAAACATCCCGACACCGAGCTCCAACTACCGGTATTTCGAGTTATTGTTAACACCGATACATGTGGTCATGTTTCCAAACCAAACAGCGAATGTGGTCGTTCCCCATCACTCTAAGCCAGTAGTTCTCAACCTTTGTGAGGCTGCTACCCACAAACCGGGTTCACTATAAACAATTGCCCCTCTAGAGAATAATTTCGGTTTGATAAGTTAATCACCTATTAACTATTGCATTTTTCTTTAATCAAGGTAAATAGATACAATTTTTAACTACTTTCGTCATTCAGCTAAGAAACTCCATTTTAGCATATTTTTATTAAAACCGCAAATACTTATCTAATCTTGAGCACTCGGCAAAACACCTTGCCACTTGAAAATCAGCGCACCACTGTGTCGGATAACAGCACACCTTATTTACCTCCAAATTCATTGCACAACTCGTTAAAAACTTTTGTATTTGTCTTACTAATGCGAATGGGATGTACAATTGTCACCACCAGGATAATTGCGTCCAGCAATGCGAGTGCAAGCGTTTTTGCTGCTAAAGTGTAAATATGTGTAATGCAGTGGCTAAAGGTAGCGTGCGGAGCAACTTGTTCGACTGATGTCTGGAATCCAGAGCAAACTTCCATCATGGCTGGTACTCGGCCCGTACAGAGACCCACGAACCTTGATCACTGAAAATTGTTTAATTCACTGACCGCTCACTAATACTTAGTCATTGACTAATCATTAGGTGGTTAGCTACATGTTTCGAATCAGATTTTGTGTCATTCATTTCGTTTAACGTTTTTTTTGGATGACCCAATCCTTGTATTTATATTTTCTCATCGTAAAATTCCATTTTACCCATTTGGGGGTAATTACACCCTGGTTGAGAAGCACTGCTCTACACGTTACCCTTGACCGAATGGCTTATGTCCTACTGTCTTCAAGCAGACCTTATTGATTCTCGCAGTGATTTTTCCAGTGCTAAATCAGAGGTCTATTTAACTATCTAGATAAGCGCGTAGATCGACTGCTTCAGTGGGGATGTTTGACGAAACTTAGACATGGTCGCATTTCTACTTTGCCCAGTAACATCATCATACAGTTTTGGGATTCCAAAGCATTTCGCACCACTCTGTCTACAAGCACTTACACAGTGATTTGGTTCATCCGAGGAGCTTTATCTTGCCCACTTCCTCCGACTTGCTCAGCTTGTCACTCGGCTTCACTTTCGACCTGAAAGGATTTCAGATGCCGCGGGTAGTAATGGCCATTTCGGTCATCACGGTGGGGATAATAGAGGGATTGTGTCAGGGAGAGAGTAAAATCTGCCATGAAAACTCCTTACTTCAATGGATAGACAAGCTGGGCCGATAGTTTGCAACCGAAACACCAATTGATTTCAGGAGCCTTCGCTTCAGGAAAGTCCATGTCCACATGACATGCGCACGAACTTTCCCATTGGCTGGCGGAATTTCTCTGCCCATCAGGACAGCTGACCTAGCTGTTCCGATAGATGGTTCTTCCTTAATTGCTTTATAAAAAATATCCCTTGGTTTCACATTACTTCTTTCCGTTTCAGTAGCTGGTTCTGCAACACGCTATTGCCTCCAACCGTTGACTTCTGACTTTTGGCTGGGAGTCAGCTAGCGGAGGAGTTCAGTTTAACCGGAATAGCGCAGAAAAAGGAACATCCTAATTGATTGGTCCAAGCCGAACTCACTCACCTGTTTGGGGGCTTCAAAAATATCTTCCCGTAGCATTTAACTCAACTTTCTTTGATTTTCTTCCTGACTCACTTCTTCACTGTCGATAGATAGAGCGTCTGGACCAGCCACCCCCTGGTGATAATGGATCTAGGCACCTCGTTTCGTCTAAGTGGAATTCAACTGGTATACTTTCTACGTCCGCTATGGATTCAGGTAATTCAGCATATGAGAGTCACCAAATTGCTTAACGCACTTCGGTCTATAGTTTAGCTGCCGTGACTGACAAAGAATCAGTCTTTCTTTCTCTCTTTCTGTCATCTTATTAACTCAGGCTTCCTTATGAGTTTGAATAATACTCAGCGTTCTCAAAAGAAACTAGCCGCATCCATCCCACGGTCCCCACTTATTAGCACTCTTATTCATTTTTAATGCTCATTTTCGTGATACTATGATGCAGCGAAAATGAACCAACTTACATGCTTCAAATCGCATACTTGTCTCCTCAGTGATCTTGGGATGTAACGATTTACTCTGTTAAGCTGCTTTGCAAACCATTGTATGACACCTTGAAGACCGTATCAGTCAACACTTAGGTCATCTATCGCCTTCATCAGTGGTGACTAACGAACCAGGTGACGATGGAGATACTTAGAGGTTTGATACTCCGCTTATACCGCGGGACTGAGAATAACGCATACTTACACTGAAGGATGTTTGGAATCAAGTCACTTACCTTGAATCGACGGACAATCTTGGTTTAACATGCCCATCTCTGACCGGACAATTCCTTCTCATATCATTTATGTGTTTGGTGGACACAAGCAGCGTGATCTGTGCATTCGCTTCGACATGTTGTATTATGGCTAGTACATGGTTGGAATAAGGGGCATCAGCAGTACGCCAATACTTTGCACCGATGTTCTATTGCCGCGCAACCGTCTCACGCGGCGTAGACATACCGCACATACGCATACTCAAAACCAGGATCTGTGGAATAGCAGGCAGACGGTTGAACCACTCGTTGACCGGCATACCTCTGCAGTCCGCTAAACTGACCGTTCGATATGCGTCCGTCTCGAAACGGTTTAGCAGGTGTTGTTTGGAATCTGAAAAGCGATCCCGTCGGTCATTGGTGTGTTCTTCACCTTATGAATAAGAGATTTGTGCTGTCGTTATGGTTCGTCGTTGATGCCCTTCGAGTTGCGGTTGGTTGGGACACACCGAAACAAAAAGGCACTATGATTTCACCTGGTGTTTATTGACCCCTGATAAATTTCAGACTTGTACCACATACGCATATTAGTTTATTAACCGGGGTACATGCGAACATTTTGCCACCGCTTTCTTTATCGAAAGTGTCCTCTGCGCTAAATGTGTAAATCTACGGACTCGTCTTCCTCTGAGACGCGAGACGTACTGTAGTTAACGACTTTCCCGGACAGTTGATTGTAACATCAGTTGTGCAAGTAAACGTTTTCTAGCAATGTCAATTCTGTCTTCTTGCTACTAAGTGGGAGTTATAACACATACATTCGCTGCGGGTTATGGGGAAGGAAGTCGAAAATTCATTGAAGTGTCGCAGTATTTGCTTTATTTAGACCAGATGTTTGTTGATTTTCAGAAAGAGAAGTCCTCCGTTGATCTAACTGCCCTAGAGGATGACAGTTTGAAGAATTGACTAAAATGAACTTACTTTTTACAAACCATTTACCCATACCGTTAGCATTAGTTACAAAGTCAGTTGAATCTTCTTACTCGCCAACCTATTGCGAAACTATTTTAAAGAAAAGAGAAACGAAGACAGTACAGTGTGCTGGGTCCGGAGTCTTCTGTACTTTTATCTACTTCAAAAAATCTGTTCATTCTGCTTGTCGACATCCAGTTAATCAATCATTGATTGCCTATTTGTCACCTCGGTTGCCACAGCGTATACAACATCGGGTGATCGTTCTACTCATTTCACATGTGAAGTGCAGCTCTAATTCTACTTGCTAACTCGATCGTCTAAACTTTTTAAGTCACCGAACGCAGCCGTCCTGACAAGCTTGCTGCTCAAGCTACGTTTGTCACTTTCCAGATATTCGCTTACTACTTGGTGATCTGCTTTCTGCAGAATTTGTTTAAGAAGTTGTTGCTAATAAGGCATCTTGGGTTCTTTATCTAAACGCCCGTAGTCTTTGGGACCACAAATCTGCCGTATAATCCGAGGGCGCGGGTTTGGGCCTGCGTAGGGACCGAGCGACCCTCGCAATATCCTGAGCCCACGTGCGCCCGGTGGCGGTCGTTCGGCTGCGAACTGTCGGCACTACGTACCGGCGCACTGCTGACGCCTTTCTTCTTTTTCTTTCATCTAAACACGTTGTCTAATCCAGTCCTTGTTCAGTTTGCACATAGTTAGTTGCTATGAGCGTAGCCAACTTGCGGGTTCTTTGTTGGAGGTATTTTTTCTATAATTTGTCTTTCACGTCTCACTCCAAAACCGGTTTTTCTCCCGTTTAAACTTTTCTGGTTAGAATAACAGGGAGTGAGAATCGAACTTAGTATCTTACTTTTGTCGGTTGCTGCTTGTGATACCTGGCTATACGGACGATGCATGTGGCAGCCGCTCAGCTATCGTTTTCGAGTGCAGTGCCGACTGTTGGATTCGGTTGCCATCCCCACTTAGTGTGCTGTTCATCTGTGTATGTAAGCTTCAGACTACATTATCTCAAATTATCATTCCCCCTCTGCCTATGCTAAGTATCTATTTGTCTTTGTACTCTGGTTGGATTCCAGTCATTTTGTCACCACAAAATATCACCTGTTTACCCTACCCTGACTGAAACTGTACTTCGTAGGGTTGTGCTTACGGTAGCTAACGATATTTTTATATCTAGCAACCTTTGCATCTCTCTCTCTCGGGTTCAACGTTTGTGTTTATAATGGATTTGATATCTTCGTTGCCCAGTACAATTAACTGTGACCTGTTTCAGGTACGGTTACATCCCTATGCGCAACGTGTCGTCATTAATCAGCGGCGTGGCCATCTTCTTCCTAGGAGCTGGACTGACTTTCTATCATGGCATCCTCGGGGTGTTTCATCCACACGATGTGGAGCCGCTGTATTGGGTGGGTTATCAGCGCTTCATTTTAATCCTAACACATCATCATCATTCAGTTAAATGGGGAATCACTCTTCCACATCTTGGTTTCAGGCACTTTTCGTTCTTGCCGGCTCATTCGTCAGTGAAAGCTGTGAGTTCCCTTTAACTGCTTTGTGTCGCGCATAATTATTGGGCCCAGGGTCAGATACGCTAGACTAATGTTACTACCAGGCACAATGACTGTCATTTCTGTATGATCACATCCTTTAAGATGATGTTTGAAACTTCGGTTCATTCTATGACACCTTGTCATTCTGGCGTTGACATGCTATATACCATGTCCGACTTATGTTAGGCCATAGTGGAATCAAACTAGGCTTTAAAACTTTCGAATTGCGCCGTTACTATTTTCAAGTTCGTAATCTTCGAAATCTTTACGGCCTACTTTGATTCCGCTATGGCATAACATGATTCGGGAACGGTATAGTATGGATATCCTCTGACTATGAGTGCGCCTGCTCAAGATGAACTAGTTATTCCTACATTTTAACTGGTAGGCCTCAACTGTATTGTCCATGAGTAAACGCATCGCTTCTACTTTCCTCACCTATCCTTCATCTTTTTCTGTTAAGTGCAAATTCTCACTGTAATCTAGCTTACTTAGATCTTTTTCGCACTCCGAAGACTTGTTTTATTCTTATCCATTTTCGTGTCGCTTCCCTTTGTATTCTTTCAGTTACTCTGGCCTTAGCTTACCGCGAGGCCCGCCGTGGAGCGAAACGGCACAACTTTGACTCCGTCCGCCAGTGGCTATCCGCCGGTGTTGATCCAAGCACTAGTGTGGTTCTCCTCGAGGATCTTGCTGCTGTGTTCGGTGTCTTAGTCGCCGGCGCTGCAATGAGCATCACAGCATGGACCGGAAACGCGCTACCGGATGCAATCGGTGCGATCGTCGTTAGTGGAATTCTGGCCGCAGTTGCTGTGATCATCATACGCACAAACACAGAAATGCTGATTGGTCGGTGAGTGGGCTATTTTCACCCCGGTATGTGCACTGTTGTGTCGGTCATGAGTCTTGGTCTGACCCTACCGCTCCTTACACATACTTAACCTCATTCATATTGGAATCTGGAGTAGGGCGTCTATGTGCATGCACACATGTGCTGTGCACAGTGCATCCGACAACTGCAACCGTACTGCGAATAATAATGGTTTCTTCATGGGACGAGCAAACAGTGATTGCACCACATGTACAATTGCATGCCTCACAATGTGACCTATTGTAACGAATTTATGCAGATCTGATCTCATTAGCTTAGACGAGAGGTACGTACAACGTGAGCACGGTCCCTATTCACGCACGTATTCGGATGGCACGCTGAGTATTCGTAAACGAACAACGATAGCACACGCTCGGGGGACTAGACGCGAGATAGACTTAGTGGCACACGAAGCAGCCGACTAAAACGACGCACACGCTCACGTAACTCCGCGATTCCCAACCACCCGCAAGAAGAGACAAGAAAAAATGGAGCAGACCTCTGAGAGTTCTTTTACAACCCACAAAGACCGAATCACTGTTGGAACACTCTTACATATTGTACGTGAAATGCATCACCACGTAGGGCTGATGGTTTACGAACGAACAATACCTACTTTACTTATGAGTAGAAGGACTTTTGTGAGTATTTTTGTTCGTCGCAGTCGGCCGACAATTCAGATAAGTCTACTGTCTATCCGGAATAGGTAGTAGACTTATCTGAATTGTCGGCCAACTGCGACGAACAAAGATATTGCCCACTTTAGTCCAGTTGTGCTCTGACTCCGAGGGGCTGGAGCCGGCTACGTTGTGGGCAGGAATTGAACTCTGTATCTCTCAGCCCACGCACTGGAGTTTGTGAGGCATTTTAGCGGAGTTATTTGTCGTGTCCGCAACACCTATTACGGAGTATGATTTCGTCTTCGAGTTCCTAATTCTTGGTCCTATCTACTCGTCATGCGTACTACTGCAATTCTATTCTGACGTATCTAGCTATCTTGCTTTTTGACCCAACCATAGTTCTCGGTATGGTGCGGAACTTTTTGCTCGGGTGAAACGTATACACATTTTTAGACGTTTTATTTTTTATCAGTTATTTTCCTATACTTTTTTCTTCATTGCCATAGTGTAACATGCTGAAAATGCGCCTACTCGGGTGCATGAAGGCTCTTTTGGTTTGACTTTGGACGAGTCCGACGACATCGCTTAAATCGCATCATTGCATGCGAATCGTTACGGTAAATCCACTCTCAACTTCACTGCACTGCTCTGGAACAATCACTCGGCTATTGTTTTCATGATCGATAACCGCAGTTCATGAGTACATTTTGCTGAGAATGGACAACGAGAAGATAAAAATTTGTCTTGCTCTATCGTACGTGGATCGGACACATGCGCGGAATCCCGCCGCTGATTTTTGCGCGGTAGCAGCATATTGCAGCTGCACTACGTCTTATCCGGATGCCATTCGCTCCCCATAGATGTAGTCCGCAAAGTGGTTGTCAATGAATGTCTTAAATTCCGGCACCGATTTCGCTTCGAATAGCCTCTTAGGCAACTTATTCTAATATTTCACCACTCGACGCGCTAAGCACAGGTGAGCCATTGGCTTTAAATCGCGTATCACTAGTTTGTACCGGTGTCTGCGTGTGCTGCTTGGTGCGCAAACGTGAAGTAGTGGCCTCCACAAAGGGAAGTTGCCCAAGTGCAGTATCCGGTGCCTCAGGATATGATCAACTCGAAGCCGACGATATGACAGGGTCTACAGCCCTAGTCTTTTACTTCGGTCTACATACGACATACTCCGCAGACTGGAGATGATGCGTGCTCAAGCACCGGTCTTATCATGGAAGAGCACATACGGGTACAGAAGCTGCGTCTGAGTGCCCAAAGTAGGCGTAGTCTGTTTGCGTACAGTCTGTTCGTGTTGTCGACAGAATTAAGATCACAGCGTGAGAGTACGCCCAAATCCTTTATGGAACAGCTGAGATGCAGCGGGTGGCCGGGTGGAGCGTACGCCCGCCCAATACCACCCCTCTCTGGGCTCATAAACGAAGCCTTGGCCGGGTTGATCGGTAGGTCCTGCTGAAGGACGTCGCAGTCGTCGGGATAATCAATAATCCTCCAAATTTTTAAACCGTTTGCAAACAGTACACAAGGCGACCGAAGAAGCTGAGGTACTTCATTGATGTGGATCAGGAATTATATGGGCTTTGGGGTACACCGCTGTTGGAGGGGCACCAGTCCGTTAGGTGGTCAACCAACTGTACCGGCCATCTTCTCACAAAAGCGAGGTCACTGGTGCAGTGCTGCACCAACACCACACATCCTCAGTTTGTGGAGCAGCATCTCATGGTTCGCTTTATCGGAAACTTTACTGAAATCAATTTAGACAACATCCACTGACTTCCCTAGTTCAACGCTCGCGACCATTACTGCTGCGTCAACAGCAGGTTGGTAATGTACCAGCGGCCGTTCATGAAACAGCGCCGTATCGACGTTAGATCTTTCGGCTCCGGCACATGTAGACCCTTTTTCCCAATCTTCTCGAGCACCTTCGCCAAAACAGAGGTGAGACAAATCGGCTGGGAATTATCCACATTGCGTGGGTCACCGCCTTTTGGAATCGACTTCACTACCGAGCATTTCCAGTCGCTCGGCAATGCACCTTCGAGCATCGATCTGTTTAACAGATCCATCTCTGCAGGCTAAATGATGGCTGATAATAACTTTAAAATTAGCGGGTGAAGTCCATCGGGTCCGGCAGGTTTCGTGCCGTCAAAACTGGCAAGTAGACTGCGGACATCTACACCGCACTCCAGGCCCTCGAGTTCAATAGGGGCTGCACACGTCGAGCTCGGTATAACCGCATGCCCACTTGTAACTACGGAAGCGAAGTGCTCCGCCAATACGGACGCACGTACTGTGTTGGAGATTAGAGGCGGTTCATCAGTGCTCTCTAACAGCTCCGTCACTTGCGGGCCTCAGGCTCGTAATCAAACATCTTCTTGGGGCCCTCTTCGCTGAGGTTGCAAGATGCTCTTTGAACTACCGACGTTTTCGTGTTTTTGCGCTGTTGCATAGATTTCGCTACCTTTTGTACGCCTCATAATCCTTGGCAGAACCGGACACGAGAAATTTCTTCCACGATACGCGTCGCCGTCGAGCCAATTGACCATACTCTGTCAAACCAATGTGGCTTCACTGATCCAGCTTTCTAATACTTGAGGGGTACGAGATGACCGCATAACGATTGCACACTCTTTTACCACAGACCAACGGGCCTCGACAGATGCGTATACTTTACTGGTAATTCTCTGTCGAACAACCGTGTAGCAGCATGCCTAAAGGCGCAACGGCACAGTGCCTGAAATAATCGTATTAGTATTGCTTTTCTAGTCAGTATGCCCACACCACACCAGCATCATGCGTTCATGAACAACCCGTATCGTATGCAGAGGCGATAGCGTTAAGAAGACAGCTTCTTGGGGATTTCGCAGCTGCACGCCACCAGTTAAGCACCCCGTCGTATAAATAGAACAGGCAGTCCGCATGTGAAAGGATAACAGACGCACCGCTGGCTACATGTCATTGCCTGAATCGTTATTCGCGCAAACCCCAGCCTTGGAGGTGAGACGATCCGACATTACACCGTTAAGCGATTTGCACTTATAGCTGTCTTTAAAAGCCCGTGATTACCACTTCGGACTCCATATTATTTCCATTTGTGCAACCAACTCGAAACTCTTTTCAGTAAGCAATGGTAGGACATCCCTTTCGCGTACCCAAACCAAGAACCTTCAATCCTGAATGGAGGGTACTTTGGAGTACACATTGTGTGATTGGATTTCGACGCGCAATCTCAATGTAGACCGCGATTCACATTGCAGTGAATCTTGGTTAATGCGATCACTAGGACCGTAGCCGAAACAGATGGAAATTGGGTGTTGCCGGCCCGAAAACGCTGCGCAACCACGACGCCTTTCGATCTTATTACCTGTCATCAGGTGGAGATTTCAGGCCTTGAACCCGCTATCTCCACCTTATGAGATAAAATGATATCGAACCGCGTCGTGTTTATGCAGTGTTTTCTGGTGCGCAACACCCAATTTCCATCAGCCTTCAATCCTGTTTGTTTCTCTGACGAAATAAAGTGCTCAGCATCGCCTACTACTCTTGATGCTCTGCGAAGTCCATTTTCCATATCAGTTACTCCACAACTCGATTGCCCGGAGTCGTTGCGTCTATCTCAGAATCGTTTATGGAGCTGTACTTTATTTTTATTTTTTTTATTTTACATTAACCATATGTGCGATCTGAAGCACAATTTGTCGGATATGCACCAATCATTTACCAATATTTGTGTTTCGCCAACTTCTATACTTCTCCTTTCTGTTGTTGGCTACGACTGGGCTTATCTGGAGTGACGGGATGAAACTTCTGAAGGATCTGATACGCCGGCCCATAGCCTGAAAGTAAAGAGCTTGCCTTGTAATCTGACGGCACGAGTTCGAGTCTGCGCAGGGGCGCGGTGACATCCTCCCAGTATCCTTAGCCCACGCGCGACCGGTGGTAACGCGGCATCGAAGTGTCAGTACTGCGTACCGGTGTATTACTTAATACACCTACGTATGCCGAATTATCACCGACCTATTGGCGAGAATAAATATGTCTACTGAAGGCAAATTGGCACAGACTCCTTGAGTAGAATGTGTCATACTTGAAAAGGCCAATAGCGGTGATGTGCTGAATGGCTTTGGAGAGTATAAAAAATATCTAACAGAACGCTCATTTATCTCTGCGAGTCTGCTATTCACTATACATAACAACGGCCCTCAAACTTGCTAAAATGGTCTTGGCTTGCTGCTATGCCACACTGACACGAAGCCAAGTAGGGCGTAGAAGTGCAGACTACACCTTTCGACGGACTACCCTACATGGAAGCAGGTCCCCGGAAGTCGGTCCCACGAATAGTCGTATTAATTCCCTTGCAGTTTTTCAATAAGCACTTTCATTATACCTTCAACTTTTTCCTTCTCCCATTTTTTCCGATTGAACTCACCGGAAGCCTGATTTGGAACTGCTTTGGAAAATCTGAAATAACATCTTCCCTTTGATACCATGTTTTCTTTGAGATCATGTTGTACCGAATGATCAGGCCAAGTAGTTGGCCTGTAACTCGCACAGACGAGCAATATACATACATATATATTAAGTACTACTCCGCATGCAACGGTGGCTAAAACTTAGAACTAGCCGAACCCCGTTGATGCAGATGAAGGGTTTCATCGGCGTCGCTCTGCGCACCAAAGTCAAATCTCATTCATGTCTAACGCACAAATCAACGGGGAGGCTGAGTCGCATTATGTCAACTAGTAACACTCAGATGAGTCTTTTAAATCTCGCGTAGCGCAGTGTCTTCATCAGTGTCTCGTAAGAATGGTCTTGCCGATGTTAATACTGCGCAGAGTATATGGAAGGTACACCTCTGACCCACCTCCCCAAGGACTAAAACGATTGTCCAGACATATTTTGTGCATGTGATGGCCACTTGCCTGGGTCTGGTCGTAATGAATCTAAATTATATGGCAATATGCCCACTAGCCTCAACATTTCCTGTTTATCCACAGCGTATTCCTAAATTGTCTTTGTGCTTTCCTATGTGTAGTTCTATTCCCCCTGAAAAACAAGAGGCAGTTATGCGATTAATGGATAGCATGAAAGTGATCCGCGGCACTTACGACATCAAGGCTACAATGATCGGTGGTGACGCGATGCGGTTCAAGGCTGAAGTCGACATTGATGGCCGGGAATTGACTAGGCGTTATATCGAAACGCTTCCTCTAGATGCCCTGATGCAAGTACGTATTATTTCTTTTGACATTTGATATCGGTTGTCTCCTTTCTTATGTACCGCCATCTTACGAATCCACAAGTGATAACGTTTAACAAAAATATATCTGAAGTGCATTCTGCTTGAGCTACTCCTATTTGACCCAAGCCGTCGACAGTCTCGTCTTTTCCTACTACCCTCTATGTCATTAGTAGGCTGCCGCTAGTTTGGACCTGGATGTCTTGATCCAACATTGTACTCGAGTACTATAGGCACAGAAATCAACTGAAATGGTTTCCGGGGCCTTCGCAGCGAGACTAGACCTTAACATTATGCGACGGTTCGTGTACTTTTTTGACCCATTGAGCTATACTGGGTGTTGCTCCCGAGCCCTTTGAGAGCTATTCCTGCCATGTTGGTGGTCAGACAAACGCAGTCTCCTGGTTCTCCAGGTTGGTAGTTGGAAATCGGTTGGCGTCCTCTTCTGCAAAACCAAATTATTGCCACCTCTCCGCTGCCTTGTGGACAGGCTTTTGAGCCGATGACTATGTTTGAGTACCGTAATCGTTTTCTTGTCTAGGTCTTGGTGTCCTGGCAATATCTCAGCCCACATACAACCATCATTATCAAAATTCAACCACAGTCTACATCGGCCATCGCAAAGCCTTATCTGCTGCATACGGCAGGGCGGATAAACAAAAATATGGTACTACTGGTGCCTCCTTCCCTTTCAATATGTTTTTCTTCCCCTTTCCTGATCGCCATTACTAATCTTCCTTCTGTAATTCCCAGTTGCAATACCACTGTAGTTCTGCCATATGCAACTATATTCCTCTTCATCCAATGGAATCCTATCGACAGCAGCTCTTTGTAAGGCCACGCTGTTCTGTTTCGTTCGCTGCGTTTAGCTTTCTTACTCTGAAACACTCGCACGTGCGTGTGTTGTTTAAGAAACTAGTATCCATGACTCAAGTGATTATTCAACTAACTACTCCTACTACTATTGAACTACTACTAGCTGTTCTGGGTATTGGTTACACGCATCCACAGACGATGATGCGGAAATCGCTGATCAAGCGGAGGTGGGCATCGTTGTCATCCCCATGGCTTAATCATCGCTGATTGATTGGATTCCCTGAACAGCTGTTTGTGTATAGCTCTGTTTGATGACGTTAACTAAGGTTGACTCACGAAGTACTACTAGAGGCTGCTTGTTTGTGTTTGCCAATTATGCTCCCACGACTGCAGTTCTGGTGTTACAAAAGACGCCATTCTATCGCAAACTGAACATGCTGCTTCTCAGTGTTACCAGTTCAGCAGTCGTTATTGTTACAGGTTATAGTAATGCGCAACTTGGTAGTCTGAGCTCATCAGAAGCTGAGCTGGCTGGTATGTATATACGGAACTTTGCTCGCACGGATAACGGCGAGCATCTGTTGCAACTGTGGGCGGAACATCGTCTGTTTCTTATTAACACCGCTTTTAGACACAATAGACACCGAAGTGCTACTTGGCGTCGCTCTGCAGCTAGCTAGCGGTGAACCCAAATGGATCAGGTTACCGTAAGTTTCAGATGGCTTTGTTCCGTCCCGAACTATGTCGTTCTAGATTATCCGCGTCGACTCTGATCATGCGGTGGTGCGCTATCATTTTCCGCGAACCTTAACGGGAGGTGTACTAAACACCTCTCTCGATTGGCAACCCAGAATTTATCTCTGTCCTCTGCCGGGATGCCCTGACTTGTTGATCAACAAACTGAACTCGACTACTATTAATATCCTCGTAGGTCGTACAAGAAAAGCTCTTCTGAAGCCTTATGTGCGATTACAAAAATGTCGCAGATTGTTATTACCCCTTCATATTTACAACGGTTGTACTTGGTTATATCTTAAAGATTCTGTGTATCTCATTTCGCTTCCGTATACGTAAATGGCTGCGGCTTCCTAAAGATACACCGGTTGCCTACGTTCACTTTGGCCACTATGACTAACTTAATACGATAATCTCCCCTTGAGCGCCATTTGTTGAACTCCTGTAATCTGTTTGGTGATTCGCGGCTTTTGCTCATCCCATTGCCACTGCTCCGCCTCTTTGTGCGAACGTCCCCTCCTCTATAAGGTTTATGTACAAGAGGCTTGGCGAACGGCGCTTTTATTTTCCGTTGTTAGTTCCTCCGTCAGGGACGTCACAATTGCACCTTCCGCTCACTACTGGCTCAGACAATCGGCCAACATTTTCCTTTGGCTATTCATACGAGGGACACAGCTGCGGGCGGAAGTCCTCTCAACAAAGGCATGCCGAGCTAGGGGGAGACAACTTCACTCGAGATTTCTTTTTCATCGCCATGGAGTTCGTGGTCAGAAAGAAGCGCTCTCACACATCCTTCGGTCATGTGCAGTCACGCATAATGCTCCCTTTAAAAGGCCTAACGACATCGCAATACAGCTTGTGACTGCAATCCACCATCAATTTATCCAGGTTACATATGAGCCAAGAATACCAACTTTTAGCTCCTTTATCAAACCCGACCTGCAACAGTTCAGCTAGCTGATGTTGTTGTTATTATTTGGTTTTTGGTGCCGGGAACTCACGCGTGAATCCATAATTTTTAAATACAAGTGCCATCAACATTTTCTTTCGTTGGCAGTATCTCGTTGCCGATGGTTTGACACCATCGGTGCGATGTCCCTAAGTGCTTCAAGTACTCTTTGTCGTTTTTGTGTGGGGAATACTACTTCCTTGGCGACCGCGCTCCACATGGTGTCAAGCGAGTGAAGTGTTAAGCACTGTCCTTTTTCACCTCACTTGTAATTTGTTGTGAACACACATAATCAGCAATCATTGCTTAGCTTTGTGTGCCAATTCTACCGATTAAGATGATTCATGATTTGAAACACTGAGTCCCCTTCAACCACTTCATTAAGGCAGTAAGAAGATAGGTTGCGATATGTTAACATTCCGATTGCTGTCGTCAGTCGCTACGCAATACAGGCAAAACACAACACGCTATATATGGGGTCCACACTTAGTAACATAGATAAGCAGATAAAACTGATGAGAATGACGTAATCAGGTCCAAGGCAATCTAATGGATTACCTCAATTGTTTCTGGGCACAGAGCACGGGACAATTCAATCTTATCAGTAGCGCCTCGCCATTTGCCAACAGCGTCGGGTTCCTGTTGCTCAGGTTCGCTTTAACGCGCGCCTACTCTACCACCCAACTACGACTTATCCACACTACACGAAGGATTCCTCTTCAGAGCCGTCCGAGTAGCTCGCCAATCAGTTCGGCCTCTAACATCATCTATCAGTTCACTTGCAGTTGTGGTGACACTTACATAGGCAAGACTGGTCGCCGGCTGGCTCAAAGAATGGCGGAACACTTCCCATTGTGGCTAAGGCAGTTGTTGTTTAACCAAGGCGGAGCGGACCACAGAATGAATCGGAACCCTGCCTCGTCTATCACCAAACACCTCATGACGACTCGTCACCAGGTGAACCCAATCGATTCATTCAAGGTGTTATTGCGCAATAGGAACCCGACGTTGTTGGCAAATGGCGAGGCGCTACTGATAAGATTGAATTGTCCCGTGCTCTGTGCCCAGAAACAATTGAGGTAATCCATTAGATTGCCTTGGACCTGATTACGTCATTCTCATCAGTTTTATCTGCTTATCTATGTTACTAAGTGTGGACCCCATATATAGCGTGTTGTGTTTTGCCTGTATTGCGTAGCGACTGACGAGAGCAATCGGAATGTTAACATATCGCAACCTATGTCTTCTTACTGCCTTAACGAAGGGATTCTTGATTATTCGTTAATTATAGGTTCTCATTGGAGCCTGTTTCAAAGTTTGTTCTTACATTGCGCTTAACCCGGTTGGTCCTGAGCATGAGCGTTTTGTTTCATCTCTGAAATGGGGGCACCGCTTTCACTCTCACTTCCCCCAAGTTATTCGTTACCTTTCCGACGCGGTTCAAACTAGCTAAGTACTTAACTAAATACAGTTTTCGAATCTTGCAGCCGGCTTTCTGATAAACAGCGGCTATTGATCAATAGAATCTTAAATGTTTAGGCAAATGCTTCATGTTGACCGATTTACAGCGAATTGTGCGCGCTGAGGCATGTCAGCTTCAGCGATGATCGGGAGCTCCAACTATCAACGTTTTGCCGCTAACTTTCACTCGGAATTGTCTCCAGGACAGTAGCGACCTACTGCAGTTGCATTTAAGTTGGAACTCTACGACACGCCTCTTGAAGTAACATACGAGAGGACCAATAATTGGGAAATAAAATGAGGGGATAAAAGTGAAGTAGGAACGGAACGATAACGGTGAAATCTCCTAAGGAGGGTGATAAGAAGACTGGAAGGCGCGACCAGTAGTACCCTTATGCGCTGTCATCGCGTTCCATGCAGCCGTTGATTAGCATGTGCGACAGTCATAGCATCAGGTAATCATTTGAAGAAGCTTTCAATATATGGCTTGGGATACCGTCAGATTGCTCATTCTTGGACAGACGAACGATGAGCACTGTCAATCAAAGCTTTC